GGGAGGGAGCGGGGGCTGTTGGCAGCGGGGAGGATGGGGAATCACTAGCGCCTGAACACGTGGAGGGCCGCGATGCTTTGGGAAGCGCAAGTTTGGGACAGGAGAGCGCGGAGATGCAGCTTCTTGGAGAAACTTTTGGGTTTAGCGCTTGAAAGATTATTTATCTATTTTCCTTGCTTGGTTTGAAAATGGTGGTTGGAGTGAGATGCCACCTCCTTCTCAGCCCCCCTTCTCTGGTCAGAAATCTTCCTGTGCCCCTCCTGCAGCCGGTGCCTCGGGGCTGCAATGCCACGTGCCATCTTTCCTCGTCTTTAACGGCCAGACACAAATCTGCTCTTGGGTGCTGGCCCTTCAAAGTGTGTTGAGAGGTTGGTGCTGCTGGGAGCACAGCAGGGAACGCTCCATTAAAAGCAAAGGAGGAACACGTTTATTTGAAGCATCAGCGTCTTCTGTACTGTTGCACCTCATGCGCTCTAGAAATTAAAGTTTATATGAGGGCTAGTTGAGTGATAGGAACTTAATTTTTCTATGTGTAGGAGATGAAAACAGGGCAGGTGAAAGGGAGGAATTTGGCAAGGAGCTGGAGAGGGGCTGGTGCACCTGAGAGGAGACATGCAGGGGTCCTGCCTGCTGCAGGGGTCAGGGCATGGGATGCGACGGCAACGGCTGGGAGCACTCACGGCTCAGAGAGCGCCGGGAGTGCCAGCAAACCCTCTCAGGGGTTTATTGCACGAAGCCTCACGTACAGCCAGCTGGGAACTTTCCACTGGTGCAATTTTTTCATAAGAAAATATGTAAACAAAGCTTCCCACAGGAAATCGCATATGTTTTCACTGAAGATGGAGCGATATACCTTAAGTAGTCACATCCATCCTGCTCAAACAGTGGTCTAGTGATTTATAGCTCTGGCTGGAGGTAAGGTCAAAATTCTTAAACTTTGGAAGTGACCGTGTACATCTGTCCTTTCTTGCCTCTTTTGCCTCCTAGTACCAGGTTAAAGGGAGGAAAAAATGGATACTCTGACAATTACTGAATGGGAAAGCATCTCCTTGTGCTGGATGCATTTAAGAAATGGGCTAACTCAAAGAAAAGTTGTGGGTCAAAGCAAAGCAGAGATCTCACGGTGAAGGTCCAGTGCCAGGCAGGCAGGATAAACCCCAGGGCTTTCTCAAAAGCAAGCCTCTGGCAAGCAAGCTTTCAAAATAGTTTCTGTTTTGTCAAACACTCCTAAACGACGGGAACCAGAGATGTAAGCCTTAGCACATTTCCTTGTTTCTGCAAGTCTTTTTGCTCTTTCATATTCAATTATTTGTTTTTATTTCTTCAATTGCTTGGTTTTGTTTATTCAATTACATGCTTTTGTTTCCAAGATTTTTTAGGCGTGTCAGCTTTGTTCATGCTGAAATTTTTTTTTTAAAACAATCGAGTTCCCTGCTGCTTTCGTGAGTGCATGTTGTCCTTAATCTCGAGGATCTCCTTCAAATGGCTTTCCAAGCCCAGACTGCATCTTCAGGGCCTGTGTTTTTTGATGGAAGTTTTTCTTGTATTGCTTGCAAGTTTCATTTTTTGTGGATAAAATTGTATCCTCATGTTCTTCCCGAGTGTGCTGTGTACAACTTGTGAGGTATTTCTATCACTGCTTCATCATAGCACAGAAGAAGCAATTTAGTTGTGCTCCTGTTCAGTGTTTAATGAGGTGCTGGCGTAAAAGTGAAAGGAATATTTTCTGCAAGCATCCAGAGGAGACAAGGCTCTCCTTCATATAAATTTTTCACCAATTTATATTTTTCAATGGAAAAAAATCTTATTTTGTAGGGACTTTGAAAAATTGCTAAGGTGGATTTTGCTTGCTTGTTTTTTACTTCTGCCTTTTTCTAGTGCAGATTGATAGCAGAGAGGAATGCAAAAGCCAGAAACAAATTGGAGAGTTTTTTCACTACCTCCCAAAGTATGTGAAGCTGAGGAAAGTGAGGATGCTGCTGAATGAAATAAAGCATAAAGCAAAAATGTATTCGCCACCAAATACTTTGCACAAATCTAATCACAAATCTGATAACCAGGGAGACACAGCGTGTGTGGTTTGGTTGCGCAGCCCCAGTTTGTCCCTTCACTGGTGCAACAGCAAAGGTTGGTCTTACTCTGCACTCCACGGCAGGTTTCCCTTGTCAAAATATGCTGGTTTGTGTGTTTTCAGCACTAAGCAAAGGTTTATTTCTCCCTTACCTCTTATCAGCTTGGGATAATTCCCCTAAGGACAGGGACAAACGTGGTGTGTCTGCCACACGTTCTGTTGCTTTCTTCTGCGAGCACTCAGTAAACATTGGGCATGTCTTGCGGCAAGTCTTCATACAGTGATAATTGCTGAAAATTCGGTCACGTCTCTGTATTATTATTTAGCTGTTCTTGCTTTTAGAAGTCAGGTGAGAAA